AAAGTCTATACTTTAAAGATGAAATAAAGCGATTGCTAAAAAATGAAAATTTATAATTGTTATTAACAATTCTTTTAAACAATTGCAAATTGAAGAATGTTCTCAATGTTTTTGAAAGATTAAATTACGATATATTGATGCGCAAAACTATAAGGATTCATTTAAAAAAAAGAAAAATGAGTAACCTCCAATATTATAGAAATTGTGTAGATTTTTCTGCCAAAATGCAGGCCAAAATCGATTTTTAATCTTAAAAATCCGCTTGAAAGCGTGAAGTTTCTAACAAAACAAAAGAAGATCTTATTTATTCGTTTGCAATTTTATCTTTTTCCAGGAACTTGAGTCAATTTTTGCTTGCATTTTGTCAGCAAAATTTACACAATTTCTATAATATTGGAAGTTACTCATTTTTCTTTTTTTTAAATGAATCCTTATAGTTTTGCGCATCAATATATCGTAATTTAATCTTTCAAAAACATTGAGAACATTCTTCAATTTGCAATTGTTTAAAAGAATTGTTAATAACAATTATAAATTTTCATTTTTTAGCAATCGCTTTATTTCATCTTTAAAGTATAGACTTTAAGCTTTAATTTAAAAAAAAAATTACTTAATTATCTTTATTTGTTTCAAAGTAATAATAAAATGAAAATAAAATGACCTAAAACTTCAGTACCTGATTACTTCAAAAATAAAATTTTTTTTTGAAAAATATTTTAGGGGGAAAAAGTGTACTCATATATCTACTAAAAATCATAGATAACTTGAAAATTGGAGATAAAAATTTTTCAAGTGGCCGGTTTCACTTATTTTGACCCCCAATATTGGCATATTTTCAGTCGTCAGATTTAAATAGTATGCAACAATTTTATTCGTAGCTGAAAATTAATTTTTTATTATAAAAGAATCTACGTTCGAAATTGCAACTATTCTTAAATACACTTTGACCAATGTTGACCCAGTATTGGTCGTGTTTTTAATGCCAGACTTTGAATTGATTTCTACAATCTGACCAATATTGGCCCAATATTGTCCCATGTTAAATGATAAAAATGTTAATAGTAGAAATTAGTTTATTTCACAAAAAATCTGGTTCGAAATGTAAACTATTTTTAAATCCATAGCTAGACATTGATTTCTTCCCTCCAATCAATATTGGCTCAATCTTGATAATATATTACATGTCAATTATTTACATAGACAACCATTTGTAAATTTTTAATTAGTTTCCTTTTTCACAACTACCTCTATGAAATATTAATCTTTTTCTTAGATTATAAACTTGACAATAATCGAATTTTTTTCCTACTGCATTTGCAATATTCAAATTTTAAAAAAAAGTAGAATTTTACCTACATTTTTCGGAAACGAAGCGAAAAATTTTGAAGAAATAAAAAAAAAAGAAAATAAGGAAAAATAGTATATTAAACAAATTGGCTGCCTTTATTCCCATGTTACTTACGATATTTTTTATTCCTAATGCACAAAAGTGTCGATTTCAGATAGCAGACGACAGGAAATAAAAGTCAGTCACTTGTACGACTTATATGAAAATGACGGCCGTTTTCTCCCTTGGGCAAAAATAACGCATGGGATCAGCGGTTATGTTTGCACATGGGAGAAAATTGACGTCATTTTCATATGGTCGAACAAATAAGTGACTTTACTCCCTGTCGTCAGCTATCTAAAAGCGCCATTTTTGTGCATGTGGGATAAAAAAATTTTTTTTTTAAAAGATTTGAGATGGACGTGAAATTTGACATTGAGAAAGATTATTTTGACTTTTGATGGGGGGGAAAATCTGAACTGGAAACGTTGTACGTGTACGATTAGACGTTTATATTGGTTTTGAATTCGCTTCACATACATATTGCATTTCATAAGGCATGTCATTTCGTACGGTGAGACATTTTCCCTGAATCAGGTAGCAGTAAGACAGTGCCAGGACAGGATTTCCAGAATATGAGAAGAGATTATGAGGTTCTGGTAGATGGCCTCCAATGTCGATGTGGGTATATTTCAGTGGTGAACAGCTGCATGTTCCGTGCTAGAAAAAACCAGTGGAAAATCTTTTTTTTTTTTTTTGACATAAAAAAGGAAAAGAGGAAATCTAATAAAATGCATAAACGTGAGTTGAATAATATGAAAATTATATAATCTATCTCTTTATAGTAGACATATTTTAATTCTACAAATTACTTATTATTCGTTGGCAAAAAAATGCACTTGCTTAAGTGCATTTACTTGCGAAATTAAGAGGAGTTATTTTTTTACGAATATATAATAAATGTCGAGAACATTTTAATCGCTATTTTTTAAAATTCTAAAGTTTTACCAACAAAAAAATTAAAATTCGACACGAATTCCAAAAATATTTGATTTCGATTTATGTTTTTTAATATAAAAAATACTTTTCTGATTGATGTATTTTTGACAGATTTTATAACAAATAGTTTAGGTAAAAATCTAGTCAGACTGATAGGTTCGTATTATAATTTTACTATTAGTAGTGTGAGTCCCATTTAGCTGCACTGAGAGACCTTTGAGACTGTAGCGGAACAACGTATGTGACAGAAGTTCCACTATGGTTTTGGTGCGCTGCGGTAAAATTTTGGGCGCGTGACAGTCCCAAATGTTGGTGAGCAGCTCACCGAAGTAGTGGGAATGCCGCCTTTGGTTTGCAGCTGAACAACTTTGGGACTGTCACGCGCCCAAGATTTTACCGCAGCAACCCAAAAGTATAGTCCTGTAGCGTTCCTCCAAAATGTTCAGTAGCAGCCTATCGAAAGTCTGCTGCTGACCCAAAGGTCTCTCAGTGTGAGCATGGATCATTGAATTATTATTAATGTACACTAATTAGTAGTACAGGAAGATTATAGTCAGACAAAAACCACCCTTGTATACAGCAAAAATAGGTGTCTTTTTTGATATCTTAAAATAAGATGTAAGATGGAAAAATGTTATCATACCTTAAAGTAAGATGTTTTCTAAAGTACCTACCTTACTAAAATTATTTTATTTACTTTGATATTTTGTTTTCAAAGAATTATAATTTATATCAATATTAAATGCTATTTTAAATGAGACCATTTAGTAAAATTATTAAAATTTCAAACAAAATTTAGAAGTTGTATAACTTTATCATTTTTCAATTAATTTAATTTGTTGCAGTTATTTTAGTTTTAAAAGATACGGAATTCTTTGTTTGAAAAGATAAATGTATTATTATTTTTTTATTTTTTAGAATAATTAAAATTTTTGTAATCAAGATTATTTTTAATTTTAAAATTATTTTGAAAATAAAAGTATGAAATATGTATCAATTTTTGCGAAATTCAATTTTTCTCGTACAACAAGAAAGTATAACAGTAGTAAAAGTAATAATTTAACAAAATTTATCGGATTCACTTGAAACTCGTTTCTAATGACGAATTGACGAATTAAAGTTACCTTTACTATCAATAGTAAAATTATTAATTTGTCAGATATAGTTGGCAAAAATCTATTAGTAAGTTAATTTTAAATTCATTTTAATATAAGTAGGGGAGAGTCTCCAGTTGTGAGACACCTCCAGTTGTGAGACAGTTAATTTTTTTTAACATGCAATATTAAAAAACCGATTGGTTTATATAAAAACATTTCTTTTTATATGAGCCAACTTTTTCGTGTACGCCGAAGCGGATATATAAACTGTTTTTGTTAAATACCAACACTGTGTGTGATAATCGACTAAAAAGCGTTTTTTCAATAAATGCAAAGTACTTTTTTTCCAAGTTAATTAATTGGAAAAGGTAAATGTAATGCATTTTCTTTTAGTGTTTTTCTTATATTTTGTGATGCAATATTGCATTGTTCCAATCTACGGTTGAAAATAATTTAATTTTCCTTTTTCAAAATAGCGCCAATTTCTGGGTGTGAGACACAGCATATCACCAGTTGTGAGACGGTGTCAACACCCATCTGGGCAGCATAAAAATACGACTTTGCAGGCATACTATTTAAATGTTGTTTTGATTTTTTTTCTAGTATTTTTGGGCATGTCAAGTGGATAAAAGTCAATTGATTCAGAAGAAATCAATTTTAATGCTCTTTTTGAAGCTATTTAATTGTGATTATTTGATAGTCATATTTTGGCGAGTAAATATTATTATTTAGTATATAATAATATATATTATTAATATATTTAATTATTTCTACTAAACATAACGTTTTAGGTCAAACTTATTAAATTTTAGCAATTTTTAATGAGTGTCTCACAACTGGAGACATTTTTTTTTGTTGAAAAAAGCGATGTGCTCGGAAAATGTATCGTAAAATTTTTTGAGTTCATCGAAACACTATACTTTCTTTTAATAAAAGTTGCGTATTTCTGTTACCTTTCGAACGGTGTATTTTATTTACAATTTCGTTTACCCATTTACAATTTACGGGTCAAAAATGAAACCCGTCTCACAACTGGAGACTCTCCCCTAGTAAAATACATTTTTAGTCAGACAATTTAAACAATTTTGAATTTCTCCACTTTTTCACAACTAAAAATTTAATTAATCATTTAAATTAATTTTTTTTCAAAATTTAGAAAAAAATTCACAAGATGCAAAATTTGAAATTTTTTAAATCGTCGGTTGGGTGCAGAAAGGTGCCAATTCAGACTAGTAGTGAAAAATGTGCCGTTTCAAATCTGAGTTAGCATGTTTTCTAAATCTCAGCTCAAATGGCAGGCCTCTCAAATGTTTTTTGAATTATTTTATATTTGTCCGAAAGTTTTCGTTTTACTCTCCTTTCTAATTGCACATTTCCTATCGAGTTTTACAGAACTTTCAACATTTAAAATTTTCAAATTCTCTACATTATAATTCTTAATAGTATGCCGACATTTTCATCAAAATATTCCAAATGTTTTGATCTCTGAACTATACATCAAGAAATGCAACAAAAAGGAAATAGACTCTTTTTTCAAGGAAAAGGATTATAGAGGAACATTTTATAACGAACAATAATTCCAAGAACACAGAACGTAAAGTTTATTGAAAATTTTACAAAGTAAATGCCTGACATACAAATCCAAACACTGAATACCAAAAAATTCATAAACCTCAAAAAGTTAAAATTGATATTCTTCAAGGAAGAAGAAAAAAAGTTGAAACAATATAAAAGAATAAAATAAAAGTTAATTAAAAGCAAGTTTCATCATTAGAAATTTTTTTTAAACTTTATTATCGCATTCTTTGTTAAGAGAATTTTCCAAATCCGAGAATAGGAACCGCTTCGCCAATGCTAAAACCGGTGCGCCAGTTGCAATTTCAGGTAAATCACCTGCACTAGCTGCAATATCCAAATGAGCATAACGTAAAGGTTTTTCCGAACCTCGACCATGCTGTAAAAACAAAGCAGTTTAATTCAATTTATTTCTTCATTGAATTCAATAAATATACACAAAATGTTTATAATACAAAACAATAGAGGAAACTGTTTGCAAATTAGTTTATTGACGTGATAAGAGAGAGAAAAAAAATGCAAATCAAATAAATATAAAAATAGGGAAAAAAAATTTCTTCCGAGAGTAATAATTTATTCCTGTATTCAACGCTGTGTAACTATTTGATAATAAAACGAAAAAGTACCTCCTGGCATCAGTCATAAAAAGTTTCTGAAAATTTAATTACTTTTTACTCCATTAACGAATCACGTAAATGTTCCTCTACATAGGCTCTCTTCGATGAATACAAATTTTAAATTCAGAATTTCTACGTTTCTACAAAAACATTTTTTTATTATTATTTTCCATGTTAATGGAAAATTATTCAATGCTTTTAAATTCCTTCCAAAAGAAAAGAAACGGAAACAAAATTGAAATAAAATATTTAATAGACCCGAGTATGTTATCAAAAAGAATAGATGTTATATATTTTTTTTAAATAACATGAAGTGTTGGAATTTCATCACTTTAAAGTACTAACGATTTTATTATATGTGTAGATATATTGAATTGAAAATCGAGGTTTGAATGTACCATCTGGCAACGATATTTTTATATCTAGAACACAGCAGAAAGCGTCACATGTTTGAGATATGTTTATTTGAAAGCGGTCCTGCATGACGAAGTGTACTTCAGAATCAAAAACTATCAGCGAAAAAAAATTCCACCTGATACTACATAAAAATTGACACGATCTAACAAGTGTCAACTTTTAAATATTCTTAAATCAATATTATTAAGATTTCAAACTGTATTCAAATTTTGATTATTAATTTATTCTACTTATACTATCTAATTTATTTTACGAATTGTTAATATAATTTAAAAAAATTATTATTACGAGAAGATTTATTTGAAATAGTATATTACTATTTAAAAGTCAAAAAAATAAAAAATCCCCTTTTTTTAATTTACAAAAAAATCAAAATTCTTTAGGTACAAATTTTTTTTTTTATCTGAATAACAGATATATCGGCATAAAATGAAATTAATCGATTAAATTGTACATAGTGAATTGCTATCAGTTATTGCAGTCGAACGAGGCTAACAGGAAATGAAATCTCGATAGTGATTTCGCGTTGGTCCAATTCGATATGTTTATGTTTTCATTTCATTTCAGATTTAAATATTGACAAAAAAATAGAAAATAAAAGGAATGACATTATTTATTGAGGGGCGAGAAAAATATGGTGCATTATATAATGGGCCTATACATTAGACCTGCAGTTTTTAGGGATTTTAAAAAAGGCAATATTTTTTCAAAAACAAGTGACAGTATTAAGTGTTTTCACTAATTTTTTATTATTTTTCGGTATTTGTAAACTGAAAGGGGAATTATTTCAGAATTTTAAGGAGAAGAATCCAGGGACTCCAAGAACTAAAATTACCCTCTTTATTATTTACAATAACAAAAATTTAATAAAACCTCTTTCCTGTTTGTAATAAGATAAGAATATAATAAAATTTTTCTGACACTTGTTATAAAAATGTAATAAATTTTCTTTTGATATTTATAACCACGTATGAAATTTTACTGCCACTCGTAATAGAAATTGAATAATATTTTTCTTGCTATTTACAGCGAAATATAAAACTTTTCGCTCAACGATTAAAGTTACGTTAAATGAGAATTAAACTTATTTCGAAAATCATGAAAATGTTTTATAAATTAAAAAAAAAGAAAAGTTTAGTAATTATTCTTTATATTTAGGAGCAGTATTAATATTGTTCGAGAGTGCTTATATTTATAAAAGAATAACTAAATAAAATAAATAAATAAAAAATAATAATTATAATGAAGGAATATAAAAGTAAAGTAATGTTTGAAATAAAATATAAAGTAATAATTGAAATAAAAAATAAAATAATTAAAATAAATTAAAATGAGAATGAAAAATAAATAAAACATATTTTTAAAAAATAATCAATTTATTAAATTAAAGTAATTAAATTGTTTTTCGTAAAAAAACAGTACGAAAAAATTAAGGAGCCGACACTTGTAATCTATACTTTGAGCAAATTTTAAACAAATGGAAAACTTTTTTGACTATTTTCAAAAAATGTGCCTTTTTGACTTATTTTCAAAAATTCAAACTTTTTCGACTTTTTCCAAATATTGCAACAAAATACCACATTTTTAATATAAAATGCAACTAACTTCAATTTTTTGTGTTAACAAAAACTATAGACAAATCTTTCAAAATTATATTTTTCAATAATTTTTTCCGATAATTAAATTTTAAAAATATACGAACAATAAAAAATTTTAAGAATAATTAAAATTTTGTAAAATTTAATTGAAAATAATAATTATTTTTTTAAAGTATTTTTTATTATAATTTTTGAAGAATTTTTATTGGAAAGTTTCAAAATAATTGAATTCATTCTAATTTTTTAAAATTCAATTGTTTTCAAAATTTTCAGTTACACATTTGCGAAAATTCAAATAAATACAATAAAAATAGTATTAAAATTTTTTAGAATTATTTTTAACAATAATGTTCAAAATTTTTTAATTAAAATTCTTCAAAAATTTAATTTTTTTTTTAATTTTTAAAAAATGCAATCAGTTTTAAAAGGTTTTACCAAATTTTAATTGTTTAGAAGTTTGTTAATTATAATATATGTAATTGAGGCCTTGGATCCAAGGCCTCAATTGAAAAACTATTATCTTTCAAAAAATATTTTTAAAAGATTAATTTCAAATATCTCTTTATTTTAATTTTTTGAAAATACTGGTATATTAATAACTTTAAAGAAACGTGCACAGTTACAATTATTATTAAAAATTGATTTTTTGTATTTGGGTCACTCCACTGACTTTCGTCTGGGGGTTGTTGCGGCTATATTTTGAAAAAATCTGGTTTCAAAATATGTTAAACTAGAAGACTTCCTGATTCCATTAACCACAATATTATTTCGAAAATTTTATTTTTTTAAATTTTATTATTAATCAAAAGTTGGCCTCTCAGAGTGTTATTTTGTAACCTTAAATTTTGCACTTTTTTAAAATCGTTTTTATTTAATAATTATTTTATGTCATATAACTGAACTTACCAAAAGCATAAATCATTTGATGGTGAATCAGGAATCGAAGCAATTACTATGAAAATAATTATATTATTTTTAATTAATAAAGCAAAATCGAAAATATTTTTCACAAAAAAATTTTCCGATTTTCTAAAGACTATAACTTTTTTCTCAATGCTCCTAAAATTTTAATCTTCTCCGTGTAGCTTAAAAGTTATATAATTTACTCAATACTAAAATTTGACGTATGTGTTTTGCTTCGTTTTTGAAAAATTAATTTTTTAAAATATTCACTTAAAAAGGTTAATTTTAGGACTTGAAGTTAACCGACCAATTTCACATCACTCTATTTACACGTTGAAATTCGATGAGAATTGTATAAAATTAACCTTTTTAAGAAAATAAATTAAAAAATTAATTTTTCAAAAACGAAGCAAAACACATACGTCAAATTTTAGTATTTAGTAAATTATATTACTTTTAAGCTACACGGAGAAGATTGAAATTTTAGGAGCATTGAGAAAAAAGTTATAGTTTTCAGAAAATCGGAAAATTTTTTTGTGAAAAAAAATTTTCGATTTCGCTTTATTAATTAAAAATAATATATTTTCATAGTAATTGCTTCGATTCCTGATTCACCATCAAATGATTTATGCTTTTGGTAAGTTCCGTTATATGACATAAAATAATTATTGAATAACCGACAGATTGGCTCGGTCGGATGAATGCCTGGCTCAGCGGACGCTTAGGACCAAGGGTACTTGGTTCGCGCCCATTAGCCTGGGATTTTTTCGGCGCGTGAGGTAATCTGAGCGGGAGGTTTGACGTCGAGGTATGATGATGTGCACCGTCGATTATTGTCCGGTACACACTATTAGAACTAGATTGTCAATAAACCGGTTGTACTCAGATAGGTTTTCTACAGTTTCCCTCTCCACTGGCGAGAAAACCCAAGGCAAATGCGAGTACTCCTAATTTTAAGCCGTTCTGTAGTCGCAAAAATTTAGTGTAAGTAGTATGTAAGAAAAATTCCAGTTTTGAATAATTGATTTTAGAAATCAGTGAAAGGTCAGGGAAATACAAAATAAAATTTTGGTTACAACACTGAATTAAATAAACAATTTTTTCTACTATTTCGTATTTTTTAATCTAGTAAAGATACTTTTTTGTAGTACAAAACTAAGATATTTTGAAATATCGTACAGGGTCAAAATAAGTGAAACCGGCCACTTGAAAAATTTTTATCTCCAATTTTCAAGTTATCTATGATTTTTAGTAGATATATGAGTACACTTTTTCCCCCTAAAATATTTTTCAAAAAAAAATTTTATTTTTGAAGTAATCAGGTATTGAAGTTTTAGGTCATTTTATTTTTATTTTATTATTACTTTGAAACAAATAAAGATAATTAAGTAATTTTTTTTTTAAATTAAAGCTTAAAGTCTATACTTTAAAGATGAAATAAAGCGATTGCTAAAAAATGAAAATTTATAATTGTTATTAACAATTCTTTTAAACAATTGCAAATTGAAGAATGTTCTCAATGTTTTTGAAAGATTAAATTACGATATATTGATGCGCAAAACTATAAGGATTCATTTAAAAAAAAGAAAAATGAGTAACTTCCAATATTATAGAAATTGTGTAGATTTTTCTGCCAAAATGCAGGCCAAAATCGATTTTTAATCTTAAAAATCCGCTTGAAAGCGTGAAGTTTCTAACAAAACAAAAGAAGATCTTATTTATTCGTTTGCAATTTTATCTTTTTCCAGGAACTTGAGTCAATTTTTGCTTGCATTTTGTCAGCAAAATTTACACAATTTCTATAATATTGGAAGTTACTCATTTTTCTTTTTTTTAAATGAATCCTTATAGTTTTGCGCATCAATATATCGTAATTTAATCTTTCAAAAACATTGAGAACATTCTTCAATTTGCAATTGTTTAAAAGAATTGTTAATAACAATTATAAATTTCATTTTTTAGCAATCGCTTTATTTCATCTTTAAAGTATAGACTTTAAGCTTTAATTTAAAAAAAAATTACTTAATTATCTTTATTTGTTTCAAAGTAATAATAAAATGAAAATAAAATGACCTAAAACTTCAATACCTAATTACTTCAAAAATAAAATTTTTTTTTGAAAAATATTTTAGGGGGAAAAAGTGTACTCATATATCTACTAAAAATCATAGATAACTTGAAAATTGGAGATAAAAATTTTTCAAGTGGCCGGTTTCACTTATTTTGACCCTACATAAATATTTATTTTTCAAATATCAATTTATTTAACATCATACCTTCTTTATAGTTATGAAGTTTTCATATTCTACCAAAGATATTAATTTCTCACAAAAAATTGGCCACGTGGACAATTATGGGAGGGAGGGGTCTATTAAAAGTCCACGATTGTCCACAATGGGGGTAGAAGGAGTCAAAAAGGGATAAAAAAAATTGTGCACGTGGTATAAGGACGACCCCATTATAATTAGTTAATAATTAAATAAAAAATTTTTAACAAATAAATATTTAGACTCACCTGACTGAGACCAGATGCCATTACGAGAAAAGCTCCTGGACCCTGATGACCTCTTTCCGATTGTGAACTGGGTTTTCTTTTCGCTTGAAGAACATCATCGCCCTCGGCTTGACCTTGATGGCATTTGAAATCCTCTCTTCGTAAACGAGAGATTTCAAATGGATCACCCATGACTTCACCAGAGGCTTGAAGCTTTTCTGCATTACTGTCCAGTCTTGCCACTGCATTATCCATGACGACCTGCATTAAATTAGATTATCATTTGCATAAGTCAGACTTCAACACTAAACCAATCTTTTACTAATTAATTCAAATTAGTCGAGAGATTAATTATTTCCCTCTCTTTAAACTCGTCCTTTCTACTCTGTCTCGTACATTAAAATTTTCCCTCTGTATCCACCACGAAATTCTCAAAAATAATTTTCTCCCATCCAAGTACAATAATTTTATTTCTTTTCTAACAATGTTATTTTTTTTATTTTATTCAAGAGTTTAAAATAAATTTTCTTATAAATTGGACAAAAGGTGAAAAAAAGAATTGTGTATAAGACGAGATAAAAAGTAAACGAAACTTCTCTATTTCCAAACGGTAGACGATATAAAAAAAAGTTTAATGCTGACCCAACAATCTCATGTCTGTCTCCAAATTTTATAGTTCCAGAGAAAGAACATAAAATCGAGTAGATCAGCAGTTCTTTGGCCCTCAACTCACACACATACACATTTATATCCTTTGCTTTTGAAAAAAAGGAAATCACAATTCTAAAGGAGCAATAAATTCTATAATTTAATTCGAACGCTGAAGATTATAAAATATTGTGTATTGTATATTATACGAAAAAAAGGAGAGAGAATATTGTGAAATTTAAAAATTCGCAGAATATAAAAATCTATTCGTTGTTTTTTTTCAAAAGTTGCAAAGCACGTTTTTCTTTTAAAGGTATTTGAAAAAACTGCGCGCGGTTTGCTCCAGATTATCATTAAGAGGTCTTGAGAAATGTAAATACAAAAGGCGAGTAGCTAGATTGGTAAAAGAAAGACTCCTCTCCTTCTCTCTCATTCTCTCCTTTTTTTCTACTTTATGATTAAAGAAAGAAAGACTTTTTCGTAATTATCTGCAAGAAAGGTGGAGAAGTGAGTTATTAAGAAAAATAAGTATAAGAAAAATAAGAAACGCGCTACATGAAAGAACACACAATAGCGATGATGAAGAGCGAGAAGAGAGGGAGGAGAAACGAAAGGAATAGGAAGGAAAACAAGGAAGAAAACGGGTCACACGCAGTCTGAAATACAAAGTAGAAATATACATGATTAAAACTTTTCGTTACAATTATATAGAGAAAGTGCTATAAAAAGAGAGAGAGAAGAATTATTGTCAAATTTGCTTTATTTCAATCAAGATGTGGAAATATTCATTTCCGTAAGAAATGGCGAATTGAAAGTGATTTATGATGAGATTAATTCTTTGAGATGTAAACATTCTTTTGCGATATAGGGAAATTTTCTTTTTCAATTATTAACGAAATCTTGGACATAATTTCTTTTGCTCTAAAGTGTAGAAATTTTAATATTTTGAAAATTACAATTTAAAAATTCATTACATTTTCTAATGTAAAATACACAAAGCGGATTTTATCCATAAATCTAGACATAATGATTTTTTTTCATTTCTGCCTCAGAAAGTGGTTTTTGAATATAAAATTTTTTCTGTGAAAGTATTAATTCCCGTGTAAATGTTAATTGTTCTTAATTACATAAATTATTCTGTATTAAATTAATTACACATAAAATATATTATTTAGAAAAAACTGACTAATTCAAAAAGGAAGAAAACAGACAGTAATTTACATTCAAGAAAGTTATTAACTTTTAGGTATTAAACTTTTCATATTCTGGAGGCGCATGAAAAGTCTCCAATTTTTATTTTCCGAATCTTTATTTTATCGAAATTCTTTTTATCTAATGAATTAATTATAATTTCTTTTAACCGAAAGAATAATTGTCAAAAACATTATTTTTTTGAATGACTAATCAACAGAATGTTTAATACTGCGAAAGAAAATTTTTTATAATCTTCAAATAATAACTGAATTATCATTTATAAAAATTATTATTTCTTATTTACACTAATATTTTTATTTTCGAAATGTCAATTTTGATAAATATTATTTTATAGATTTGTTAATAATTATAATAATTATATTCCAAATTATTATTCAATATAATTCAAATATTACCGAATTACCAATTCTTAAAAAAGTTATTGTTCCTACACGGAAAGAAAAGGTCTGGAAGAGATATCCATAAAAATAATGTTGAGCAGAATATTGTTGTGTTATCCAATTCAATGGAAGAGACAACTTTCAGAATGGAAGCACATTCCATATTCAATGGATGAGGGAGCCATATTATATTGTTGAATCAAATATGGATGTGACATCCATAGGCATGGTTGGGCTTACAATTCATGCTATGGATTTTCACATATGGCTGCCTCTTCCATATAAACTTTGGTTGGGAGATCCATAGTTAGTTCAAAATTTCGATACATGTTGCGCGAAATTAATTACACAGGCACACAAAAAAATAAAAAAGTCAAAACCCAGAGGTTACACCCCCCTATCCCCATGTTTTTGGGGTCGCTGAAACCGAATATAACCATGAAAAATTTTTTTCATCGGCCATTTTCCCGCTACCACCCCCTCACATCTGCTCCCGGGGGTTGGAATTTCAGTTTAAAAAAAAGTGGAGTAGGGTGTCTATTCCTGTGTTTTTTGGGTCGCTAAAACCAAAAAATACTACCAAAAACAAATTCTTCCCTCCCTTAACCCCCTACAACCCCCTTAACACCCGAAAGGTGGTGGGTCAAAATTCGAATTTTCACGAAAAGTCGATTACGGTGTCTAACCCTACGTTTTTTGGGTCGATGAAACCAAAAAAAATTACCAAAATCAAATCCTTTCCATCCCGACCCCCTACAACCCCCTGCAATAATTTTTTTCAAATAAAACGAAACGATTTTTGGGAAATTGGAAATTAAATATTAATTATCAAAAATTATTGCAGGGGGTTGTAGGGGGTCAAGGGTGAAAAGGATTTGATTTTTGTAGTCTATTTTGGTTTCAGCGACCCAAAAAACGTAGGTTTAGACACAGTAATCGACTTTTCGTGAAAATTCGAATTTCGACCCCCCACCTTTCGGGTGTTAAGGGGGTTGTAGGGGGTTAAGGGAGGAAAGAATTTGTTTTTGGTAGTATTTTTTGGTTTTAGCGACCCAAAAAACACAGGAATAGACACCCTACTCCACTTTTTTTTAAACTGAAATTCCAACCCCCGGGAGCAGATGTGAGGGGGTGGTAGCGGGAAAATGGCCGATGAAAAAAATTTTTCATGGTTATATTCGGTTTCAGCGACCCCAAAAACATGGGGATAGGGGGGTGTAACCTCTGGGTTTTGACTTTTTTATTTTTTTGTGTGCCTGTGTAATTAATTTCGCGCAACATGTATCGAAATTTTGAACTAACTATGGATCTCCCAACCAAAGTTTATATGGAAGAGGCAGCCATATGTGAAAATCCATAGCATGAATTGTAAGCCCAACCATGCCTATGGATGTCACATCCATATTTGATTCAACAATATAATATGGCTCCCTCATCCATTGAATATGGAATGTGCTTCCATTCTGAAAGTTGTCTCTTCCATTGAATTGGATAACACAACAATATTCTGCTCAACATTATTTTTATGGATATCTCTTCCAGACCTTTTCTTTTCGTGTTCGTGTCTCCCCCATCGGTTAATAATTTATTTCGTTAATATGCGGTTATTCAATAAGTGGTGTGTATTAATTAACAAAAATGTGTATAAAATATCTCAAGTGACATTGAATTTAATTAATTGAGTGATTCCAATTTTTTGTTTCCCATTCCCATTACTATGGATCACTCAACCATAGATCTTCTGCTGCTGCAACAATATACAGCCAGCCATAGAATATCGATGCAGCAACCTTAACTATGGATATCCCGTATTTTTCAATATAATATGGCTGTGATATCCATGTATCTGGATGTGTCAACTATTCCTTTTTCTCCGTGTAATAATATTTTTTTATAATGTGTAAATGTTCTATATTTTAAAGTTTCTAAATTTTTTTTTTCGAAATATCATTTGTTATAAAACTTCTTTTCTTATAAATGTTTTTCAAAATGATTTTAACTTTTTCGAATTAACATTACTCATAATTTTCTTTACTTCTAATCATTCTTCTTTATAATTACTATATTTTCTAACATGTATTTCTTCTAACTGGTGTATTCCACGTCAGTTCAACACAAAAAATTTTATTAGGTTTTGGGATTCGGTTGAAATTGGGTAGATTATATCCTCTGGTGGTAGTAAATAAAATCCCTAAGCGATTTTAAAAAATTTCAAAAATTGGCGGACATATTGGATTTTTAATTTTTTTGTACTTTTTTTTGAAAAATATATATCTCTGCTTCTTCTTAACGGATTTTAGTTTATGACCTCTTAAATTGTTCGTATTGAAATATACTTTTATTTAAAAAATTAAAATTAAAAAAATTATTTAAATTTTTTGTTTAAAAAATTAATTTAATTTTTTGAAAAGCCATAGAAGAAATATGCTACCTTCAATTTTGATAATTGTTTTACCATTTGTAGCCATAAATGTGTTGAACTTGTCCTGAAATTTTCATCGTGGGACAGCCAGTAGTTTTTGAGAAAAAAAATAAAACGTAAATCCTCGCATAGCGCTGTAGCGCTCAGTTTTAATGCCGCACGATTGTAAATGGAATATTAATGAAAGTACGAGTTTTTATTAACCCTAGAACTAAAATATGATTTTTTTATGGACTAACGAAAAACTGGGGTGGTTTGTTACCCCAGATTTGAAACAATTGTAAAAGGTTACCTTTTTCGTAATTTTTTTAATTTGTCAACAATGTGGCTAATTTGAAAAAATTAAACGGATTTTAAAAGGTAAATAAAGAAAAACTGTAAGACCTCGGAAACTCCCCCGTAAAAAATAGAAACCTTCTTTGTAATAAATAATTTTTATTCTATTTTAAAATCATTTAACATTTGTATATATTGTAAATAATATTTAAATTTTCAAGTTGCCTTAATCAAAATAAAATTGTCTTTATTTACCTTTTAAAATCCGTTTAATTTTCTCAAATTAGCCACATTGTTGACAAATTAAAAAAATTACAAAA